TAGAACGAAAAATCAGGTTGTGGTAATCCTTAGCTTCATGATCAGAAAAAATTTAGTAGGCATGTACAAATGAATATTAATATATTATATATATACATGTATGTCAGCCCTTCCCCCTGAGGACTCAGTCAGAATAAAATGGTCCGATAATAGCATTTTTGGATTAATAGAAACCGTTTTTACCTGGACTTTTACGTACTGATGTAGCTTTTTATAGCCGACTATATGGATTGGGGTTTTTTTCATTGTTGAAGGCCGTACGTTGCCTATAATTGCTTACATCGACTTTTATATTTGAACTTTGGTGGATAGTTGTCTCATTGACAATCATTCTGTTTATTACCGCATCTCCTTATATCTCATGACAAGAAATTGCCTCCGTTGAAATTCTGCAAACACCCCATAGAGCAAATTACATGGATGATTAATATTGACCATTTGGTATATGGCCGTGTTCTAAGCGACACGTACATGAAGGTCATAAATTAATTTGTTGAATGAAATCAATTCTTTATCTTATAATGAGTGCCGTAGGAGGAAGACCGGAATTTTAAGCGAGGATTTCTTGGCATGTTACAGATAGAAAACTCAGGATTAGAATTCATAGAACAGGAAAGGGGCAGTGGCAAATATTTCATCATGGTATATTTTGAACACAGAGAGAATTACCCCGGCACCCTTTGCAAAAAAAACATTCTTTTTCTTATTTGTGCCTTCGGACTTTATGTTTTGAAGTATAGTTTCACTTTCCATATTCGGTATTTATTCAAATGTAATCTCCACATGGTAAAAATCACGTGATGCAGGAATATAATATCTTAGAGTTAGGCTATTTCTTTCTTTTCGGGCGGGGACTCCAAGCAAACAACATGCATGTGTATAACGGCACTGCATATTTTCGTATTAAATAAAGAAAGTTGCCGGTCCGGTACATGAATAGATTGATTAGAAAGCAAAGTTTTAATTTTAATTAGATTTGAAAGCTTAATTCGAGGGTTGAAAATAAAGAGTACAAAAAGGGGGGAGGGGAGGTGTTCCACAGGGAATATTTTTATCTTACGAACTCTACATTTGAAAGGTTTATTATTTATTTTATTTAATTAAAAAAGAGAAAAACAAATGTAAGACAAATTGTGAATGGTCTTTCTTCCTTTCTCTCGTTACAGATAGAAAACTCAGGGTTAGAATCCATAGAACAGAAAAGGGGCAGTGGCAAATATTTCATCATGGTATATTTTGAACACAGAGAGAATTACCCCGGCACCCTTTGCAAGAAAAAAACATTCTTTTTCTTATTTGTGCCTTCGGACTTTATGTTTTGAATTGTAGTTTCACTTTCCATATTCGGTATTTATTCAAATGTAATCTCCACATGGTAAAAATCACGTGATGCAGGAATATAGTATCTTAGAGTAAGGCTATTTCTTTCTTTTCGGGCGGGGACTCCAAGCAAACAACATGCATGTGTATAACAGCACTGCAGATTTTCGTATTAAATAAAGAAAGTTGCCGGTCCGGTACATGAATAGATTGGTTAGAAAGCAAAGTTTTTTATTTTAATTAGATTGGAAAGCTTAATTCAAGGGTTGAAAATAGAGAGTACAAAAAAGGGGGGAGGGAGGTGTTCCACAGGGAATATTTTTATCTTATGAACTCTACATTTGAAAGGTTTGTTATTTTTTTTATTTAATTAAAAAAAGAGAAAAACAAATGTAAGACAAATTGTGAATGGTCTTTCTTCCTTTCTCCCATGCCAAGAAATTGCCTCCGTTCAAATTCTGCAAACACCCCATAGAGCAAATTACATGGATGATTAATAATAATCATTTGGTATATGGCCGTGTTCTAAGCGACACGTACATGAAGTTCATCAATTAATTTTTTGAATGAAATCAATTCTGTATCTTCTAATGAGTGCCGTAGGAGGTAGACCGGAATTTTAAGCGAGGATTTCTTAGCAGGATTTACCCGAATAATTCAGTCGCTATGTTCCGCTAATATACGATTACACCATTAACCTCGCAAGTAGGAGAGGTCGATTAACGTGGAAGGAATGAACTATTTGGGTTGTATTTTTATATAGTTTCCGTTCTCGAACGTTACGGCCACCTGTCGTCTTCAGAAAACAAAATGTTCTGTATACATGTCATATACAAATAAAAATGTTATTATTCTATTTGTGTTCTTTAAGATGCATTTGCTGTACATATATGATTGATACAAATTACTTAGGTATATATATTTACTCCATATGGAGGTGCTCCTACTTACAACGGCTGATTCACCGAAGAAGAAATTGAGCGCCATCTGTCGTCATAATGATCGTTAGCATAATACAACAATGACAATTTACAAATCTACATTTAACGAATCGACAAGTTACAAAACATCAATATACAAATTGACAATTTACGAATCAAAATTTTACGAATCGACAAGTTACAAAACATCAATATACAAATTGACAATTTACAAATCGACAATTTACGAATCGACAATTTACAAAACATCAATATACAAATTGACAAATCACACAGTTACAAGTTACAAATTGACAAGTTACGAAGTAAGAATTTTGACCCCGTTGGCTTTCCATAATAATTTGGGACAGTGTTGTAACAGCACAACACATTTACCTTAAGAGTGTTCTATAAGCATTAAACTTCGGATTGTCCTGTCAAAATGAAAATTTTTCGCGATTAAGAAAAAAGCGACAATATCCATATGGGAACAAAACATAAAGTTGAACTTAAAAATAGAGCTTCAATTTGAGATACAGTTCGCATTTCATGTAAATTATGAAAAGTTAAATCAGAGTTTAATTTGCTTACTTCGCAGTTTAAATTAGATAAACAAAAATAACCCTTCGCATACAATTGATTCTAATGGAACACCAGAATCAAAGTAAAAACATTTAAGATTTCATGTCGAAAAATTATCATCAAGGTCAAGTGAATTTTTTTACAAATCGTTGTAAAAGATCAGTTCAGTATGAATTGTAAAGTCTATCAGCAGAGATTTTTTACAATATCAACGAAGATGCATATATCAAGAGACCTGTTGAGTTTTTGTGGAACATAAGTTCACTACCACATTTTTGGTAGAGTTCGTGGTGTACAGATCTTAATTGTTTGTGTTAATTTTGAGGTTTCTTACTGATTAATTCTCATTCACAGGATTAAGTGATACGACTAAGTCTGAGAAAATCATCATTATCAACTACAATGTTGTTTAATAAAAGTTTTTACTGTACAAATTTGTATGCTGTCTTTATATTTCTTTTGTTTTGTTATATTTAATTTTAGTGGATGAGTTTCTGTCAAAAAGCAACACACATGTTAATTCGCCTTTCGTTAATCTTAAGGCTAAGTATAATGCTTTTTTCTGCATTTAATCAGTCTCGAAATGAGTATCAATATTTGAAATTTAATAGCGAGAGATATAGTTGAATACTAGAAATGGGAAAGAATGTCAAACAGTCTCGTTTCTAGGAGAACTAGAATAATCTATATTTATGTTTATCCCATATTCACTTTTTAAAGCAAACGAAGTAACATTTTCAAAAGATGACATGTGCTTTTTTCAAACCAATAGCATCGTCTGAAAAAAGTAAAATCACAAAAATACTGAACTCCGAGGAAAATTCAAAAAGGAAAGTCCCCAATCAAATGGCAAAATCAAAAGCTCAAACACATCGAACGAATGGATAACAACTGTTATATTCCTGACTTGGTACAGGCATTTTCTTATGCAGAAAATGGTGGATTTAACTTGGTTTTATAGCTAGCTAAACCTCTCACTTGTATGACAGTCTGAATTGCAGAGATTCCCCTTCATCATATTTGTTATCATTTAAAAAATGACAAAGATTGTCGTGTTAACTGTTGATTTAGTTTACATTTTTCAGACATGTGGCACACAATTTAATACAATGTTTATACGTATGTCCACTGACAGGTACTGTATGTTAAAATTTAGATTTACTGTTTTTGTGTGGCTTAGTTGTTGGCCTTGTGTAGCTTAATCCTTGCCTTGTACAAACAAACACATAGTCAGAATGAAAACAAAAAATACTCTTCCGAGCTTCAAAATTAAATGGTCGTTTCTGATACTGATGAATATTCAATTTACTTACACTCATGCTTTTCAAATGTCAAAGTATCTTTTCGAAACGGATTTACTATATTTCAACGAGTAGAGAATAGATGTATTCCATCGATCTGGTGATATACATAGTTGCCCATGTCTTTTATTCAGGACTGGTTTAATAAAATTTATTTTAGTTCAAACTATAAAGATTATTGTAAAAGAACTGATATGGATTAAAAAGAAACGAACACATGTGTAAATTGAATAACTATTGAATAATAAGTAGATAAAAGAAGATGTGGTATGAGTGCCAATGAGACAACTCTTCATCCAAGTCAAAATTTATAAAAGTAAACCATAATAGGTCAAAGTACGATCTTCAACACGGAGCCTTGGCTCACACCGAAACAGCAAGCTATAAAGGGCGATAAAAATACTAGTGTAAAACCATTCAAATGGAAAAACCAACGGTCTACTTTGTTTAAAAACGAGAAACGAGAAACACTTATGAACCACATCAACAAACGACAACTACTGAACATCAGATTCCTGACTTAGGACAGGTGCAAACAATGGCAGTGGGTTTAAACGTTTTAATGGTGCCAAACCTTCACCCTTATCTGAAACAGTAGTGTAACATCACAACATAGAAAGACACGCCCTAAAATATCAATAGACATGGCTTAACTCAATCAAAAGACATATTAACACCAGTGAACACACACTGAACAATTAAATTTGATCTATGATACAATGTAAATACAAAATAAATAAACAATAGGAAAAATAAGTAAAGTAACATGTGAAATGTTAAACAATTTAAGAAAAACAATATGCTTGTACAAAAATATCAGCCATTTGCAATTACTTTAAACACAGGTAAATGAAATTAATAAATGCATATTTATTACCTGACATTTTTGTTGTAAACTTTGATATGTGTTCCTTCACAACGGGCATTTCCCAAGTATTTACTTTCGTTTCTATTAAAAGACAACATGACATTGATATCTTTAAAAAGGTATTCCCTATAATTGAAATCAAATAGTTGTGTAATTCTTGTGTTTTGATACTTCAAATAGATAATAATCCAGTTATAAATATGTGACTATTGAACCAAGTTATATAGTACGTACAACTACAGTTCATTGGTTATATTAGTTTTTCCTTAAGATTAATTCACAACATTACTTTCTAAATTCCGCTTATCTAATTGAGTATTATCGATGATAGTTTCTACATCATGTGACACATTTCCAGATCTTATATATCTGGTTTTCAGCGCCACTGACTAACAATCGTCACTTCGAAGTAACTCGGGCATGCATATGGCGTGTTACTGGCCGACCAGTAGGAGTTTCTGTTCAAGTATGAATAAGAGTTTGAGTAAGAGTAAGAGTTTGCTTTTGCGTTAGAATTATTACTGAAGTGCGAGTTCGTGTTTTGAGTTTACGAAACAAATTAAAACTTAATAGACTACATTTCCGAAGCGCTTTAAATTACTGAATATACTACATCGGGAACGCTCATCAAAAATATCGTTTTTGGAAGAATAAAAATGCGTTTTTTAAAACATATTTGTGTGATTCTGAATTTCATGAACAAATAATTTGTTTAAAACGAAATTAAAACAAAATTGTATTGTACAAATATCGTTTTGATTGCCTAGTTTCGTTCTTACATTGTATATGTTATGGAAATCCGAATTTGTTTTTTTATTTAGTAGAAAAAAAATATGATTTGACATAGAGAAAAAAATTTTCTCGTCGCCCCGATGTGCGTTCTTTATGGCTGTAAAAATTTTTTTTAAAAAGGACAAATCTGTTAAAGGACCTAAGGCATGGCTTTTCTTTAAACTTAGATGACTTTGAACCTATTGTTAAGAATCAATAAGTGATTTTAAAAATCACCTGTTATCCTTTTATGTTTCAAAATAAACCCTAAGAAAGTTATCAGGGATCTGCAGAAATCTACATGGATATATTTTTGGGTTCCAAAAAATGTTTTTAAAACCGTGTTTTCCTTAGTATTATCAATATTCAATTTATGCTTATTTCGTAATGCTTAAACATAATATTCAATTAATTAAAAAAGTAAAGACTGATGTGGTTTGATTTGCATATTATACAATATATATCATGAGACTAAATGAAGTAGATACAACATGGACAAGCAGCTGTAGGCTACCGTACGGTCTCAAATAACGAGTAAAATCTTCACAATATGGTAAGCTATAAATCGTTATGTCATGTACTGTTCAAACATATGTGAAATCTTTCTTGGAGTATTTACTTGTGTAAAGGTTGCCAAACGTTTATATATTGGTAATTATGATGAATGGTACGTCCTAGAATCCTTAGATTTTAACTGTTTCCTTCACCGAGACTTGCATATGTATACTATCAGTTGTGTCTAGTTACAAGTCATCTATATGAATTACAAGTAAACCTATTAACTGTCCAATTAGCAATAAGTTCAGATGTTCCAGGACTTTAATTAACTAGATCGAAATAACTGAATGAAACTGAGTCATTGAAGTAACGTGGAAAAAGGATTAGAGAAGGATAAAGCAATACGAAGAATTATAGTATCTACCAATGATAAGGTTTTTATATTTATAAGACATTGTATAGTTCAGAACAGCTGTATTCAAACATTTGAAGGGGTATAATTTATGAAAATTAAAACAAGTATCCTGGAAAACAGGCACACATGCCTAGAATTCAAGTAGATAATCACCATGAATAAATTTCTTAAGTTGAGTCATTAATACAACTCAATGACTTCTTACATTATGAGTTGTATGCTAACCTACAACTGATTACTCAAGATGCCAGTTATTTGCAAGAAGAAGAGTTACTTGGATGCCTGTGTATGCTAGTCGGGAAGCTATATATATGTACTCCGAAACAGGCTAGTAATTGCTAGTGGACAGAAAATAATCAAGAAAGCTCAATTTGTTCTTTTCTTTACATTATGTAACTGTCCTGATGACATATCGTCAGGATTCTATCACATATTTAATTTGTTTTATTTGATATCTTTAATAATCATAAGAATGACAAAATAATGATATTGTGATAAGTAAAAAAAAAAAATAAAAGATAAAATGTCTTAAGGACGAGCAGGACATTACGTCACGTGATTTTTTGATTTGTCACGTGATTGTCATGGTAAATATAGAACCGGAACCGCGTCTGTCAAACTCCGGCGGTAAACAAACATGGCAGATGACAAGTATTCCCACCGTATTCGAGGAAAGATGGCTAGTACCGGTAGGAGTAAGAAGGCGGACCGTATGAGGCAAATGAATCGAAAGGATACAATAAACGGTGAAGACCATAATTACGGTGCTTTTTTGAGAGAAGGACCTGTAAATGCATCTGATTTGCAAGTTGGGGAAAAACGTTGAACTTGAACCCTCCAAAACCTTGGTTCCATAAATCGATTTAGAGAAAACAAATCCGGGTTACAAACTAAAACCGAGGGAAACACATCAACTATAAAAGGAAAACTGAAGTGCAACAAAAACAAACGCCAACATACATAGAAACGAACTTTTAGATAACAACTGTCATATTCCTGACTTGGACAGTTTAAGAAAACATGGTGGGTTGAACCTGGTTTTATGGCTAGCCAAACCTCCCGCTTTTATGGCAATGTCCAAAAAATATCGCTAAAATGACAACACTACGTGACAGAAATACAGCACACATACACGCCAGAACACTCATAACAGAGAAACGCACAAACAAATAATATAAAGTCGACAGAACAACGAACATCTTCCATCAACGACATACACAACAGGACATCACAAACAGTAACGTACTTATTTGACGAATATGTAATTTTGAACTTCACACAATTATTTTTACAACACCAGTCCAAACAATTTACACGACAATGATGGTATTGAAAGGCCATTTTATAATTATTTGGACTACAAATAGTGTTTATAGATGTGTTCCGAATAATCACATTGTTTTCACTTATATGAGCAACACGACGGTTGCCACGCGTAGAGCTGGATTTACTTTCATTTCCTGAAGACATGAGATCATCATCGGGTTTGTTCATGGAAGCCGTTATGTTTTGTAGAGTTTTGTTTGTCCTTTGGTCGTTTTTGTGTTGTTTTTTTGTGATGGCGTTGTCAGTTTGTCTCTAACTGATGACAAACAAAACAAAAGGTAAAAGTAAGTTGATAAAATAGAATGCATTCGGTCAAAACGGATCACGTGTTTTGGCTAAGAAATAACTCAAACCATAGAGAAATAATTGCAAAGCATGTCTAATCAAAACCACCTTCATTCATAGGAGGAGACTTGTATCAAAACAATGATATTTCTTATAATATACATATGAAAACAAGGACCTGAAAGTTCTGTTGTTCAGTATGTTGACACTAATTATCATTATTGGCCTGACAAAGATTTGGCTATTATTTTAGAATCTTTTTCTATTATATTGCTCTTCAACTGTTTCGTAAATATACATACTGGGCTTTCAAATATTCGGCTTTGATCGTTACTGATCAAGGTACATTCAGAAAATCGGTTCGGACGCATAAAATTATAACGTGTTGTTTTCTTTTTGTATGTACTTGTACCAGTTGTGTTTTTGTATGGTTAATGTATCCCATGTTTTGATCGATGCCATACTATTTAAATATATGAGGATTTCACACTTTACATTTGTAGGGAGAAAGGTAAAATGTAAGACAATTGTTAGTCTTTTGCAAAATGGAAGAAAAGAAACCAATGCAGATATAGTTAAATCATTTAATCTATATCGTCATAATAAATCTCGAAACAGACATCAAAGTAAAACAACTAAGAAAAATTAATAACGTATACATAAATATACGAATATAAACAAAGAAAAGTATTAAGCAGTTGTTAAGGTTTATTTATACTATGTACTAAAAATGACTGAAACAGAAAAAAAAAAATACAGAAACAATTCATCTTGTTTATTGATACGTTGATCAACTGTATGCTAAAGCACACAAACTCTCCAAATATGGAAGCGCGTAGGTTATATGTTGTGTTTTCCTTTTCCTTTTATAAAACCTAATCAGCCAGCCGCATTTTTTTGACTCACATTTAACACTGTATATAACACAACGATATGTTCAAATATCGTGCTATTAATGGATTCAAATGTTTACTCATAGCCTTGAAGTTAGCAACGTGACAATCTATTTTTTGTAAGATAACATTTGATAAGGACTGAAATTCTGTACTTTTTGACACATTTGGACACTAAACTTAATATAAATTTTTGTAACGGCTAGGAGAGTACCCATTTAAAAGTTAGATTGTCCGAATATGCAAAACAAAAAAATTTGGACATTTTTTTTCTCTCAATATTTTGTACATTTAATAGATATGTGTATTAAAATCACAAAAACAACAAATGTTAAATTCAAAACATGGTTCTCCATTTGATAAATTAATTACCCAGTATATGAATTACGCAATTCACAATTACAACCCCCCCCCCCCCCCCCCCCCCCCCCGAGAACTAATTAACACCACTAAGTATGAGAATGACCAATATTTAGCATCTAAAATTTATAAATGAAAGCTGAGATATATTTAAGCGTGACGTTTTTGTTTAAACGTTATTCGATGCTGTCATATTCCTTTGAATGCATCACAAGTCTACACCAATTTATCTGATAATTTGTCAATGATGTTAAGAATTTTGGCATAGTATTTTTTGTCTTTGTTCTTAATTTCATTAGGTTTATTGTCCTTCGTGACAACCCGGTGAGTCTAGCAATTTCCCAAAGATCTTTACAGTTTGTTTTTATGTTGCACTGTTACACGATTGTCCCTGGTCGGAGGGAGGTCGGCGTGTTCACACGCACATTTAACGGCGCCTATATTCTCTAAGTGCCTGTACTAAGTCAGTAATCTGTTATATAGTGGTTGTCGTTGGTTACTGATTTTATGTCTGTTTTTCGTTTTTTGGTTTTTAAGGAATCATTTTGACATGTTATTATGTCGGGGCTTTTTATAGCTAAATAAACGGTATGCTTTTTTTTTCTTTTTGTGACGGTCATTAGGTGACCAAAAGTTGCTTCAATCCACGTTATTGAAATTTTGCCGGAAAATTGTTTTTCCGTTTTTTTGGCATATTTACATGTATTTCAAAATATTACTTTTTGATTTATTTCATTATCGTTTTTTGTTGTATTAAGGATCATTACATAAGACAATTGACATTCTAATTAAAAGATATTGGATTAATAAATATTACAATTTGATTGTATTGATTACATTTTTGAAACATATAACAATTCAATCATATAGCAATACCAAAATATGTTAAACAAATAAACATTGAAACGAAGAAATCGATAAGAAAATTTTAAATACAAATTATAAACAACTTTAATTTCGGATGAATGGTTGTGTAATGCATTTAATCGAACCTGTCATCTATAGCAGCTGGTGCGTACAATCACCATCACAGTTCTAAAACTGTCAGACATAAATGTACCCATGATATATATATCAAGTAATATACAGATACTTTGGATTTTTTTGTATCGTAGATAACATTTATGTATGTTTATAGTTTAATAGTAAATGTTATCAGTCAAATTTATGTGATTTAATATCGGATGGTCGACATAATCAACAAATGAACGTGTAGCTGAACCAATTTGAAATCAAGTATAACAAAACTACTATAGTGGCCACCTACTTATCGATTAAAAAAAACATAAGGCCGTACATTTCCTTATAATTTCTTATATCCATTTTATTTGAACTTTGGTGGATAGTTGTCTCATGAGCAATCATACACATCACCTTATTTTTATATTTGAATTGAATAAGAAGCAGATTGTAAAATATTTCATTAAAGCAACATAATCTTCTACATATAGGTAGAAATCATAAAAGAAAAAAAATAATGAAAAGCCGAATGAAAGATTAAAATTCTGTTTTCCTTTAAAACAAAATCTTTTTTATTTGTGACCGACGCCTTTAGAAAAGCTTCGGTTGACTATAAGTTTCGAACTGGAGAATATTCAACATGTTTCATATTTAAAGTTAAATTTAATTAAGTTTAACTTGTCGAATACCTTAATATAAATGCTAACATTATGAATATAATCCCTTCTAAATATCTAGAATTTATAATGGAAAGAACCTTAAATAAGCTTTAGATAATTCATTCCGGTATTGTCAAAAAAGAAGTAACCGTGTGCGTAAACATATTTGATAAAGACAAAAAAAAGTTAAGAAGTAGTAATTTATTCGGATACCATAATCAACTTGCAACTTGGTTTGCTCGTTGATAATCTTTTCCGAATCATTCTGCAACTGAACAAAAAATCTTTAATTTATCGCCATAATGTCATTAAACTTGTTTAACTGAATTGTTTATCCAACTCGTATCATGTTTATTCTCAAGTGGAGTAAAATTCCAAAAGACCATCGTTTGAATACTTGAAAGGAATAATTTGTGATTAATCGCAATATGGTGTAAATAAGATATCACCAACAGGGGGATATACGTTCGGGAGTTCGCTCGTTCTTCCGTTTGTCCTTTCAATAAGTATCAACTTCAAGTTAAAATTTTGATGGAATGACGTTTACCATGATTTTATAAAATTAAAAGATTTGACTCATATTTTACAGTTTGCTAATCATGTAAAAGTTTTGGGCCAAGATATTCCACCACAAATTTGTATTCACATAGACTTGGAATAATAAGTAAATGTTCATTATGATGTCAACTTTTTAAAATATATGACAATGGAATTTTTTTTGTTATTCAGTGGGTCACGTAAATCATATTTTGATGATGTAAAGTGGGAGTACAACATTGCGACCTTTGGACATAGTTTTTACATTGTTGTTTTTATCATTTAAATCTCTTTCTTCAAAATTTTATCTACGGTTCCGATTGATTGACAATGATTCCCTATAACTAGATGACTACAACATTACTGAAGCGTTTTTATAATCCATGATAAAGAGAGTAAAGCAAAACAGCTTTTGTAAAGGATTAATACATACAGAACTGTTTTCTTCGTACCTTATATTTCATTAAGAACAAGGAGACCTGCTTTTAAAAGTTGTCTTTTTTTTTATCGATTTCAAAATCTTAAAAGATAATACAAATAAGCAACTAATATAATTATAATAAATCAAGTATTCGTAATCTTTCATTTAGATAATTTGAAAATACAAATGTTTAATTTATAGGTAAAAACTTCCTATTTTTTGGTCGGACGGTTATTATGACATCTGCACGAGAACCAGTGCCCATGTCTCCTAAAACTTCAAGTATGTCATCTTCAGAAATGATCTGGTTGCATTGATCATGAAAGACCCCTTTTGTATAGCAGATATTGTCTCTTGTGTCATTTCTAGATATCGACTCATACCAATTTCCCGTGTGATTCTTGACTCCTCTGCTTGTAATGCCAACTGCAAGGTTATTTGACGACGAAAAGAATGGCACGTTACACATCACTATGACACGCCTATCCAAATTACCCACCAACCAAGAGACAATTCCACTTGTTCCTCTTAAGGAAAAGCCAACTTTGTGACCAACCTAAAATGACAAAATGTAATAAAGTCAAGTATGATATTGAATCTAAGACTCAGAGATTGTAACATGTCAAATTGTTATGCCTATGTTGCTTTATCGTGAAATACGTTGTAACAGTTCCTGCATCACAAGAAATAGCTTTCCAGATATCAATATCAGTTTTGATCTGAAACGGTCATTCAGATTTTTACAGCTCTTTGAGTCAAAACAATAAATAATTATGTCAATTTCAAATTTTTAGTTAACTTTCAGACTTATCCACTTGGGATAATTCAGAATTGTTATGACAATTCGCCTGCAGCCAATAAACATTTGTCTTGAATGTTCAGTGGTTGTTATTTACCTAAACGAACCAACAGCATATCGAATTATGTGCAATTTGTTTATAAATGAATATCAATTGAAAAAAGTCACATTCCTTACCATGACTTCCTTCATTTTTGTTCCCACGTTCTGTGGTGGTGATGCTAGACATCCTGTATTTATAGTTGCGTTTGGTTTTGAGAGTTCAATAGTTGTCCAGTTTTGAATATAAATGGTGCAAACGCGAATGTAGTTTTCTTTGCTGTACATAATGGAACTTCTGAATGAATTTCCTTGGGTTGTAGCCGCTTTCAACTTCTGTTTTAACTGCTTCCAATCTACCCGCTCATGGTTTTTTCCATCCGACGGGTCATTCGTTTGCACGTCTTCTTGAAAATATATGTAAAAAGATTCAATGGTATATCTTATTGGGTCGTTCTGGATATCATTGACATCATAATTTTAGGAGGGGGGAAGAAAATCTACATGTATTTCTGTTTTCTTGTTTTTCTTTATATAAAGTCGATTCAGCAAACATTATTAACATATACAAATGTTTTGTATTTTATGGATATCTCCTTGACCATGTTTACGGAAAACATCATTTTTGTTATACACTTAATAGTGCTTTTTATGTTTTATGCATTTTGTCGTTATATTTATAAATCGTCATTTTGTGTTTGTCCTTTTCATTAATTGATTAAATATTAAATATACCTGAAAGTTTTCACGAGTAAAGGTTGTTGATTCCTAGAGTGTCAATTCAGAAAGGTTTGCAGATGAACAATGGACACAAGGATGAGAGGAATTACTGCAAAAACCAGAAGTGGTGAATACAAATAACATTTCAATTACGAGTTTGTATGTTTGTTAAACCTACACCACACACTTAAAATTGAGAATTTAGTTTAAACAGTTTGTATTAATGAAAAATTGTAACAATGAAATCGGACATTTTTACATGAAATTCAGATATGGGATTCGAAAACAAGTATTGTAAAACTTTTATAAAACCGTCTCCCGTATACACAAGTCGCACTCATAATTTTTAAGCATAGGTGGTATAATACGTCTTATGACAATATTTTGAGTTTGCTCTTTGTTGACTGCCTTTCGGAAGCTTGTAAGTATTTGCAATATTGTCTTTATTCTTTATTAAGTGTTGCCTTGACAATCATACCCCATCTTAAAATGTTCATAGAATTGACTAGACGGTATTGATAAGGACTTCACAATTAGCAACAAAAATCTCTCGCCTTTCTTGGATTTTTGTCAGATGAGTGTATAGAATCTATGAAAAAGAATACCTTGTAGAAATGGCGATGTTTGGATGACAGATTGACTTTGTTGCACATGCAAAGAACGATGTTTTAGGTTCAGTAGCAAGGAAAGATGAATAGAATTATCAACATTATCTGTTGTTTAAAACATTTACTGACCTCAAGGTGTCTTTTGACTGTGGTGTCATTGACCTATTCGCCTTAATGTGTGTACTCCATATTGATGTTAATGTATCAAATTTAATGTATTCTCTATAAAGATGTACGCTACCTGATTCCGAAAATCGAGTTTTCCTTCTTCTCGAGATTGGTTTTGACATCTATAAATCTCTAATATTGCACTCTATTTATTCCCTACAATGGACTTGATCTGTTCCCTACAGTAAATACATGCCAGAGTTGATATTCGATTTAGTGTCATCAATATATAGTGAAAGTGTAACGACTTATCTAGTGTGTATAGGTAAATACGAAAATAGAGTAAAGTGTAACACACAACGATATCAATCAGGAATTTGTGTAATATTAATTTGATTGATGTTAGTTGATATAAAATACATAAAATTTAGAATGGAAACAGGGAATATGTCAAACAGACAACAACCCGACCAAAGAGCAGACAACAGCCGAAGGCCACCAATGGGTCTTCAACGCAGCGAGAAAATCCCGCACCCGGAGGTTGTTTTATAAAAACAAATTTATCATTTGTAAAACAACTACATGCACATTTCAAATGTTATGAAATCTATGAACAATTTACCTCAGTCAGTTAATATTTCGTTATTATTATTTCAACCGATGTGATGGAACTCTAACAATCGTATATACTTTCAACTTTCGTTTCTTGTTGTTCTGGTTTTTCTAAATATAAAAATAGTACGCACTTCCGCACATTCAGTTATCAGGGTTATTGATTGATTGGTGATTGCTTTACACCACATCAGCTGAAAAAGACTACATTGCGGCAACAGATATGTTTAGAAAAAAATGCCAAATACTATTTATTGGTTAATGTCTCATGTAATTAACAAATATTAGGTTTAAAGAAGCAACTATTAATATCAAAGACTGAAAAGGGTGTTTTTTCACTCTATCTTAATATGCTAATTAACACGAGGTTAGAACATTATTTAGATGTCAAGCATATACCACTAAGTAGATGACCATGTCTGATAATTACGTTTTGGAAATCTTTACTTCTTGAATATGTGCATCGGTGACTGCAGGTGTATATTTCATTTAAAGTTGTGTTAAATAATGCCGATCCCTGGTACATTCAATTTTGAATTCTGCTCACATCACATTGTATCGTTATTCAAGTGAAAATAGTTTTGGAAGGAAGTAAATCATTGGCTCACCAGCTCGATGAAATTTGATGAAACAAATATAACATGTATAACCCAGCTCTAGAGAAGAATACTTCATTACTCTATGTATCAGTATTCTAAAATTTTTCTACAACTTTCTTTCTATTTTTGTAATTCAAGTAATTGGCATACGTTATATTTTGAATTTTATACCTTATTTTCAACATTTACAAATTAATCTTACTATCAGTAATCTCATTTAAGAAGATTTTTTTTAAAAAGAGTACCGAATATAGAACAAAAGAAATACTCCTGCAATAAAGGTATAGTTACAATTAAAACAAATGAATTGATTGATGTTATCTCAACGTCCAGTGGCAAATAGTTCAGGCATGTTCAGGTCAAATACAAACTAACAATAAATACTATAGGTAGGTTCGGTAATGCAGGCCGTCCCTTAAAAGGCCAGGAAATCTGAACTGCCACAGGAAAGAAGGGTGTATTCGATGGGGATTAAATATTGCCTTGCAACAGGCCATCTACACCTGTTAAAAGGGCCATAAACTTGGCATCCGATTTAACGTCCCCGTTCTGAGCAGAGTTGGCTGCGTAGTTATACATCCCGTTCAGCTAAACAAACGCCCCACTTTGGCACGGGTTTTATTGCCGTTCGGAGGAAGACCAACGTGACCTTATTTTCATTTCCTAGTCACCCTTGGGGAGATTTTTTGAAGAAAAAACATTGATAAAGCAAAACACTAAAATCAAATGATAATTTATTTGATAGATAGTTTTGCACATGTTTGCAATCATACATACATGTACAATTGCAATTATGTGTTGATAAATTGTTCCCGGACTTTCAATACAAGCTATATTGTATCATATATCCAGGAACTCATTATGTACTCAGCCAATTTTAAGTAACACTGTAACGAACAGCAATCTTGCAATTCTTGACATATGTACCCTATTTTGATGAATATGAAATGACGATTATAGGAAAACAAGTAAAATAATGATCCAGTCTTCAATATTAGTAATATTGTCAACTGAGACAAAATGGTGCTAAGATCCTAGATTAAATATGAATATACAAGTAACCTTACATGGATTTTATCATCCTCCTTCGGTCTTTTTTGTCGTAGAGCTTCTGACCTTTTTTTAATATTTATCAACCCTGGTTTCTACTTTTTGGGGTTGCACGTTCCCAATGAAGGTGAATCCATCAATGTGTTAAACATTTTCAAAATATCAGACATGTTTTATCTATGAATCGAAGGTGTGTTTAGATGACCGTATTGTATAAGGATATTAAAATATAGTGATAAGGTGTAATACCACTATTGATTTTTCCCTATTAATCTTTGTTAAATTTGCACTTTTCCAAAGATTGTGCAGAATTTATCTTTGTTTCAAATAAAAAATACTTTGCATGAGTAAAGTTTATCCTGTCCAGTACTATAGACACAATTTCACATTACATTTCATTGCATATAACAAAATAACCATCACTGGAAGTTCACCAATCAAATGTTCATCCCTTTTTTTCCTGTGTACAAGCTTTAGTAACTATGAAACCTCAACTTTCCAAAATATTCTATAGAAACACCAGATAAAAAAAATAATTGTGCTTTGAAACACCCAAGATATATGTTTATGACTTAGAAATTGTTTACTGCAATAAAATGTACGATTAATTTTATACAACTGTCAAATTCAAGGAAATATTTTTTTTCGACCCTTTTTCTAATGCAACCGGATGTAACGTACTATGATTTGGTGGTATTACACCATAAGGTGCGATTGCCAATGATTTTTTTTTTCAGTTGGACTGTTTCATTTATTTAGATAAAACATATAGGACCTAAACGACCACCAAACAAAACTTTGCTATTTTAAAAATGGCCACAAGTCCTTTCATTCGTCATTTACCATATGTATTATATCGATCATAATCATTATTTTTTTGTATTTAGATTTTTCCGGATATTTTCATATTTTTTGCAGAATTAAAAAAGTTAGATAGGTTGAAAATGTTTACAACAAAAGTACATGTTAAACATATGCATTCCTTAAATCAATCTAAGATATTAAAAAGAAAAGTAAAATCAGTCTTTAGAAATAAACTCAAACCCCGGTACTGCAATTAATTCATATATGTTCTAATCGTTAGACGTGTATGACATTCTTTGGTATTTTTCCGACGTACTTGAGTTGTATATTATCGATTTAGTGTATACTTTACACTGTCTGTTTTATTTACCACACTGACTTTTTTTCTGATTTTATGTCATGGCCCGGTATTATTTGTTTTGTTTATTCGAAGGAGTGACTCGTAAGATTTTTTTTTTTAAATTTTAGAAACAGTCATTTTCATTTTCGTAAGCTCGTTTGTATTATTCAATGGACAGTCAGAAAAATCTTGTGACAAAGATAAGAACATTAACAATATAAGAACATGAGTTAGACACAGTACATGTGTGAATATATCTTAGTCAGCGCACACGGTCAATCTTAGTTAAAATAAGGAAAGAAAGTGGAGTTCAAAACATCAACACACAACACAATCATGATTTTATTCATTGCAATTGGTACATACGTCAATTTTACATTTTCCGCACTAAATGGGAAGCTGGAAATCCTGAGAAGGAAATAACATCCCATCTGAAAAATTCATGCACATGTGTCCTGTTCAACAGTTATAGAAATAAATGACTGGTTATGAAAAAACTTAGTTGTCGTTCTTGTGCATCATGATATGGTTATTTCAATTGCATTTTCTTGTTAGAATTACAGAAAGAATTAAAAACCAATTGTTCAAAGAACAATTGAAGGTCTTTCCACATCAATTTTCTAAATAATTGATGAGAAGATAATTCTGCTTTACTCAAAGCTACTATTGGCGTCCAATCATAGGTTTCTTCATACTGATTCAATAAACATATGGTTTCTATAGACTTTCGCCTGAAATAAGGGAGATGATTGTCAACTACCGGATTAGACAATGTCACTTCCGGTCTCATATGATAGCTTTATTTACACTGATTCCAAAAATATATGGTTTATATATACTTTTGCCTGTAAAAAAGGAGATAATTGGCTACTTCCGGTTTAGAAAATGTCACTTCCGGTCTCATATGATAGATTTATTTACACTGATTCCAAAAATATATGGTTTATATATACTTTTGCCTGTAAAAAGGGAGATAATTGGCTACTTCCGGTTTAGAAAATGTCACATTCGGTCTCATATGATAGCTTTATTTAGACTGATTCCAAAAATATATGGTTTATATATACTTATGCCTGTAATAAGGAGATAATATGCTACTTCCGGTTTATAAAATATCACTTCCAGTCTCAAATGATAGATTAATGTCTGACCATTCAAAAAATATATGGTTTCTATGTACTTCTACATGAAATAAGTGCACAACTGATTACTTCCGGTTCACTCAAGGTCACTTCCGGTAGACATTTTTCAAGGTCATATGTCACCCAACATTTTGCAAAAGATCTTATGGCTTTATCATGTACCAAGATGGAGTAATAATCAATTAGCCTTAAATTGAATCATTTCAGGGACAATAACTCATATGAGATATCATTGGATTATTTCAGACCAAATGTATCATATCTTAATCACAATTAGGCAAACATTTTGCACTAGTTCTTTAATTTGTAATTTTAAAAGTGACAGAGGAGATCAAATAACAAGGAAAAGTCAAAATTTAGAATATGACCTTGACCTTTGACCTTGGCCTCAATTTCATTTAAATGAACCAAGGAACTCAAATCAATATATCTTAGGTCTCTATCACTTACCATTCATGCTATACATTTTTATATCCCTTATGTCAAATACAGAAGGGGAAATAACTCTCATATGGAGTTTACGTATCGCTTCGGTCAAAATTGGACAAAACATCCTGAGGATATAACGAGCAATTTGGTAAAATAAATTTGTCGATTTCTTTTACAGTTACGGAGGAGATGCTTGCACAAGGAAAACAGTGTTCGGGGAGATAACTCCTACAAAGAAAATTATTTGGTTTCGCAGGGTAATTTTCAAAGGCGCATAAACTGTTCGATTTCATATACCAAATATCTATGCGACATATTGCGAAACAAATATTTATCGCAAGAACAAAATTAGGCGGAAGAAAAAAAAATAAATTAAAAACCAATTGTTCAAAGAACAATTGAAGGTCTTTCCACATCAATTTTCTAAATAATTGATAGGAAGCTACTTCTGGTTTACTCAAAGTTAAAAATAGCGTCAAAGTATAGATTTCTTCATACTGATTCAATAAATAAATGGTTTCTATATACTTTTGCCTGAAATAAGGGAGATAATTGCCAACTTCCGGTTTAGAAAATGTCACTTCCGGTCTCATATGATAGCTTTATTCACACTAATTCCAAAAATATATAGTTTGTATATACTTATGCCTGTAATAAGGAAGATAATATGCTACTTCCGGTTTATAAAATGTCACTTCTGGTCTCAAATGATAGGTTAACCTATGAT